GAAGTGGGTGAGGGAGAGTGGCAGTTGCTATGTTTTTAACAGGGTACTCACACATTACTTTTAGAAATTAAAAGTTCTTTTCAGAGCTGCTAAAATCTGAATGGTCACCCATGGAAGGAGAAATATCGCTATTTAAAATTTTATTTGGTAACCATTACACCTAAATTTAATAATATTAATCTTAGAACTGCAGAGCTGGAAGGGACCCTATGAATCCTCAAGTTGCGCCCCTGCCAATGAGGCAAAGTTGGAAATTTATTTATTTATTTATTTTATTTTATTAATTTAATTTATACCCCGCCCATCTAGACTGAAGTCTACTCTGGGTGGCTAACAATAAAAAATGGAATAAAAACAATATAAGAAAGTAAAAAACAACATTATAATATAGTTCAAGATGGGGGAAAAGGAAAAAAATTCTACTGATGACAAGAGGGAAAGGCTGCCTAAAGAGCCAGGTCTTAAGTTTGCTCTTAAAAACCCCCAGCGAGGGGGCCAGACAGATCTCTGCAAGCAGACTGTTCCATAGGCGAGGGGCCACTGCTGAGAAGGCCTGGTTTCTTGTTCTTTCTTTTTGAATTGAATTGAATACCTAAAGCACTGAGCTATCCTTGGAAACATGTCCTGGGGAGGCTGCAATGTAATGATCCTGGCTTCTCTTGTTGGCATTTCTGATATTACATTTGTGTCCAGCTGTTCTCTTTAACTGAGACTGTCCTGTCTCCCTATGTAGAAAGCAGAAGGGCATTGTTCATGTCATCTAAGACGAGAAGGTGTACAAGTACAGTAAATGAGACTCTGATGTAGTATGTGACATGCTGGTATCATAACACTATGCATAGCAAATATGGAATCCTTATTCTTAGCTCTGTATTCATTATTCTTTGAGAATAATCTTACCTAGTTCAATCCAATTGATCTGCATTTGTCTCACCATGCTTAATAGGCTTAATCATAAGAAAGTGGAAAAAATTCGCTTTTTAGGGAATCAAAGAATAAAGCTCACTTCCGGTAGTTACTTGCCTTACTTTTACTTGTCTTACTTTTACTTGTCTATTTTTAAAATAACTTTTTTGTTTTAAACTGAAGATGTTTTCTCAATTTGAATTTTCTCTGCTTTTTGAAGCATACAAATATCAATGTTGGAAAATACAGGCTGTTATTACTCAACAACTTCAGAATTTTACACTATCATATAAACAAAGCAAATAATCAGAACCAACCTTGGACTCACTGTACAAAATAGACTAACTTCATCCAACCAGTTGTAGACAGATTTCTAAAGAATAAAAACCAGTCATAGAGGAGGAAGAGTTGCTGTTACTATTTCAATAATGAGACAGATTACAGTATGTCTCAGATTTGCTCAACCCCCCCCCCCCCAAACAGTATTTCAATAATGAGACAGATTATGTCTCAGATTTGCTCAACACCCCCCCTCCCCAAGAAAGCATTCCAGGATGGACGTTTCACTAAAGACTTGTCCAGTTCAGGGGGTGTGGTTACAAAACTACAATTTTTACCATGTAAATGCCACTCTACATTATCCATGTGGATAGAAAGCTCAAGCAGAAATTTCAAGTTTGCAGAAAGTGACAGGATTGAGAGATAGAACTACAATATCAAGGAATACTCAGCATCAAAAGGTAATAAAAAAAATAATGGTATAGAAAAATAATGCAATCACTTTTTTTTATGGGGAACACAATGCAAATATTTGACATCAGCTGTACCCACATAGTGGCTGGAGACATATGAATCAAATTCAATTCATCATATGAAACATTCAACTCATAAAACCTTTTCATTACTTCAGCAATAGCATGCCATGTTCCCAAATCCCAGGAAATTGATCATGATAACACCTACTCTATTAACATATATATTATTTGCAAATGATGCATATAGCATCCTAGCCTATGTTGTCATTACTTCCATCTCAACTACGGTCCTGAAGCTGTAGAGCTGTATCACTGTCAGAGTGATGAATCAAAGTTCTAGATCCTTCTGTTCACCAGACCAAAAACATGAAAGAGAGGCTGGTACACATCCTTCACCATTCCATGTTGGAAGTACACGACTGACATCAATACCAATAAGAGAGCTCATCTAATTTTATTCCATATTTAATACAGGATAGGCTCAAGCAAAACAGCCCTTCATATTTCAGCTGTAGACATTCTATAGAGCCTTTTAGTTAATTAGTCCTAGAACCAAACATTATTTCCCTATAGTGCAGAGTAAGCAAAAGAGCTAATAAAGAGAAAGATATTCTCTTAAGTACTTTCCAGGTTTATGGTATAAAAAGCTCAGTATTGGATTTCATACATTACTGAACTCCACTGCAAACACAGTTAAATTTGAACGGATCCAAGTAAGCAGTATAAAGGTCTCCTAAAGCAGCTTTTCTCCATCTGTCAGCCTTCAGGTTTATTGGACTGAAACTTTAATCACAGCCAAGTGGTCAAGCTAGAGCATCAAGTTGAGGAAGGCTGCTATATACACTTACTTGGGAATATGTTACTTAGAAGAAACACTTTTATAAAACTGTATACTATTATTTGAAACAAAATATTTAATATGTTTTGCATGCTTGAATTTAAAACGTTATAGGCAGAACAACTGCTTTCAGAAACTGTCCCGACCAAGCCTTTCCTTTCGCTTCACCTACAGTTTATCCAAGAAACAGTATTTAACCATTGACATTTCACAGGAAAATTCAGAAATTCTGCAGGTAATGAAACAAGACATGCAAAAAAATTATTTTCAAAACTGCTTTGCAAAAATGTCCAATTAAGCCCACATGAATAATGAAGATGGGCACATACGGTAGCAAGTCCAGTTATGCAAGAAGTTACATATAACTGCATAGAAAGAGAGGATTCATTATGGAAGAAAAGACTGATTAGGTGCCCAGTATGTTTTGACCAATAGTACCAGGAGACCTCTGTCTGGAAGTACCCAACATGGTCATAGTAGCTTATGTAACCTGATCCTGAATGAATTTTAAGTGAAATGTCACAGGCCAATAATGTATTCAAAAAAGATCAGGAACATTACAGAATCTGAGATAGGTAATAATCAACCATTGTATGTCCAGTACAGGTAACTGTTCCACATTGCATTCATGCAGACACTGAAAAGTTAAACCATATAAGATACAACAACAATTTTCGGTAAGAATAAAGTTGGACCTCATGTTCATTAATGCCGAGTCCTGCTCTCCCCATTGATAAAGGCCCAACATGACGTGATTCAAAACATATGAACTGAATAGGCAAGTGTCCTTGCAGTGGTAAATAAATGCTGCTTCTTTAATCAGAAATACCTGTCTTTTAAGATACCACTGATGTAGCCACCACTTTCCACTGTGGTTCTTTTCTCCCTCTGTCCATTGTGACTAACTTCTTATGTCTGGCTATGGAACCTTTTTACAATGGAGATACAGATGAGAAACCCATCCCACTAACATAAAAGTCTAGCACTAGGAAACGAAAACAAGATACTGTATGTGAATACCAAATAATATCAGTCTACCTATTCCAAATAGGCTAAAGTACTAGTAAAATGTATTTAAACAATGTATCTGGAAAACAATCGGACAAAAAAACCTATTGAATATATTCCTTTCTATCTTGGAAAATAATTTTCATCTGAAAGTTAAAAGCACAGACAACATGCTTCCAGTCCAATTCTAACCATCACTGAAGTCTCACTGGTATCAGTGAAGCTTGTTTCCATGTGAGGAAACTTAAGATTGTACAGAAGAGTCTGTTTCATGCTTGTTCAAGTGGTACTATCCAGAACACACTTTCTTGGAGGTGAGCCCTTTCTTGAGTTTACCATGCATAAATTTAAGGTATGTTCACTGACTTACTGACTAAGGTATGTTCACTGACTTACTGATTTGCAGTTCAGTCTTACTACAGTACAGTACTTAGACCCTTCACCCTAAGAGTACCCAGGATTACAGTCCTCTAACACAAAAGGCAATAGCTAGATGATGCTTGCACAGAATCCTAGTTAACAATACTCTTGAGCGTGCCCCACTAAAAATGAATGGAAACATTCTGCTCTTTAGCAGATCCATTTTATTGAAATACACCTTATGCAAGGGGATTTCCAGCTGGTTTGCATGCATAATGTCCTCTTTCAATAAAACAAGCCCATACTGTAACATACATTCAGCTGAAATGAAGTTACAATTCTGTCACTTGCTCCCTCATTTTGTGCTAAAAACTAATCTTCTGCCCTTTCATTCCGACCAATCATCTCATGTTTTAATTTGCTATATGCATAACGATTTGCAATATACTGTACAAAACATGGCGATCAAGAACTACGGAACTCGCTTCTGATACATTGTTTTTTTCAATCATAATGGTCCCATACAGGTGTCACTGATATTCACTAACAGGTAAGCAAACTTCCCGGGGAAGAAGCCCCATCGAAGACAACCAGTTTCGCCCTACTGAAATCAAGGAGTCTCCTGCCATTTCAGTGGATCTAACTGGATTTAGCCCTTACTTCCGAGTAAATGCATAGGAATGGGGCGTTCACAAATGCGTTATAACCGGACACGGTGCGCCTCTCTTCACTCAACACCCTCCACCCCTTCATTCCGCCGCACTTACTCCTAAGGAAAAGTAAGCATCGCCACCGCAGTTTCTCCCCCACAGCACTTTCAGAAGCTTCTGAATACTAATGAAACAACAACAATACTTATTGTACTGAAAACCCAAGGACAAATTCAGATAAAGTTGCTATTCCATTAATAGTACCACGAGGCAATAGCCAGCCAGCAATTGAAGCACCTGATGCATCTAATTTTCCATCTCTTAATTGTTCAACGAACAGCATGAAAACGGAGCATAAATTGCCTGAGGAAATAACAACAACAGAAGGACTGAAAGCTCAAAGTAGCCCACCCCCCAATACACATAAAACCAAAACCGAAGAAAAACAAAAAGCCCACATGTCAAGTAGAAAGAAAGCGATACCCGTCCGCCCGTCCCTCGAAGGCGCGAATGCCCAGGTCCTGGCTGTATAAAAAGAAGCGAGGTCTGCAAGAGTCGTCGGAAAGCAACCGGTCTGCAGCGTCCGCCCGACACGGGGATTCCCGACCCTCTTTTTACTCCTCCAGCGAAGAGCCGCCGGACCGACCCAGCGGGAGCGCGGCTTGGCGAGCCTCGAGCCCAAGCCCACCTGCCGGAGAGCCGCTGCCCCGGGGGTCTCCCATGGCGAGCCCCCTTCGCCGTGACCTTCGCGAAAGCAGCGGAGGGCTTTTTCGGAGCTCAGAAGAGGCTGTTTTTTCGGCCGCCTCAGAAGAGGGAGGGAGGGACGGAGAGCCTCCCCGGGTACCAACCCTCCTGCTCGACCGCCGGCTTCGCAGAGGAGGCGGCTGTGTGGCGGGGGAGGGAACCGGACAGCGAGCGAGCGAGGGACCTCCGGCTTCGGTCGCGCAGAGGCTCTTGCTCCCCCTTGAGGAGGTCGGAGGGGGCCGGGAAAAAAAAGCCTCGGGCGCCTGGTGGCACTTGTGTTGGCGGGAACCGAGGCTGCGCGTAGCCGACTTGCTGGACTTGGAAAGGCGGGCAGAATGGGTCGCTGGGGAGCAAGCCGCTTCTGAAGTAGTTTCCCTGGAAAACCAAAGCGCTCCGTGTGAGGAGCAGACAAGGACACCATAGTTGATCCCTCACCACCAACCACCCTTTGTGCTCGCTTTCTAGTTGCAAGGAACAGTGCAAAAATAAATATTTCTACACGGGTCTGATTCCAAAGGATGAGCAACAGGGCGTTATCCGTAGGGGCTTCCCCAGTGTCCTGTGGTGGTCAGAGGGTTCAGGAGACCTGCGTTGGGACCCCCACACTGGGCCATGGGAATCCCCTGGAGGGGCTCATCACCTCCGTGGGTAGAAGCGCTTGAGACTTCATGAAGCAGAAGGGGCTGCTGGTGTGGACACTCTTGCTTCAAGAAACTCTGGAAAGGGAGGAGGAAGCTCGCACTTTGAGTGCAGCCGACCCAGGAAAGGCACACATTTTCCCCTATAAGGGAAACATTGGCTCCCGACTGCTGAGGCACTTCATTTGAATTATGAACTACTATTCTCAGCAGGAAAATATAATTATTATAGAGCGCCTTTCCTGGCAGAAAGCCATCTGTATACCTAGATATCTCTATGTAGCCTAGAGGGGGAGAAATGAGGGCATCTAGATATCTCTATGTACTGAAAGAGATGTAGCCTAGAGGGGGAGAAATGAGGGCACTGGGAGCATTGAAACAGGCATAGGGTCTGTGGCAATAATGTTTAAACTGTGTTGTCAAAGACTGCATTTGTGTTCTGAAGTCTGGAGGTCTAAAACTTCCAAAAGACTGTCCATGTTGGTCTGCTGCAGCAAAAGCAAAAAAGAAGCCTTTAAAAAGTAACAAGTTTATGACACCAACTTTTGTGGACAACAGTCTTTTTCATCAGATGGAGGACATGTTATCTTGAATTGCAGATTTACACAGCATACTGTATATAATAATTGCATGCTTTCAAGTCAATTTCAACTTAGGCTGGCCCTTTCTAGAGGTTTCTGGGTAGAGAATACACAGAAATGGAATATCATTCTCTTATTTTGTGGGTACCCTGGGACTGTACAGCTTGCCCAAGGCCACAGAGGCTAGCTCTGCTCACAGGAAATACAGTGGGAAACCCAACTCCCAACCTCTGGCTCTGCACAACTACAAGGCTTCTGGGAGTTTTAGTCCAAGAAAGGGGGCCCATGGTTGTTAACCACTGCTCTAGAGCAGCCATTCTCAAATGGGGCCATATGTCCCCTGGGCAGAGGCTGGCACATTTGAAGGAGGTTACAGACTGGAATCTATTCTTCACATACCATCTTATAAGGTTTGTTATGTACAGGGATTGACCAATTTTATAATGTCTCACCAGTCATTCAAAAATTTCACCAGTCAGCATTACTAGACTATATCCTCGCAATTTATTGGGATTGGGAATTACTGATTTATACCCTCAGACTCCGGTTGCTTTATTACCTGCATGCCTGTGTGGGTCATGAAACTTGTATTTTGAATGCCTTTCTCCAGCAAAAATAAAAGCAAAAGCAAAAGCGCCTGGCCTCTTACAGAGCCATGGTTCCCTCCCATCCCTGGATGTGTCTTGTTCGGTTGAAATTGGGAGCAGGGAATCTCCATATTCTCCATCATGGAACTACTCTACATTCTCCTACAGAGTTATATCTGTATGTGCCCCTCAAACTCTCTTCTCGGGAGAAGAGGGCAGTTTTCCTTTTGCAATGGGAGGGGGGAAGGGAGGACTGCAGGATTAGAGAGAGGGGGGAAGGAGGCAGGCAGGAAGGGAACTGTGACTTGGTTGTTGTAGGTTTTTGGGGCTCTTTGGCCGTGTTCTGAAGGTTGGTCTTCCTAACGTTTCGCCAGTCTCTGTGGCCGGCATCTTCAGAGGACAGCACTCTGAAGAACGGGGCACGATCAGCTGACTTGTTCAGCAGCATTTTTCACTTGTCACAGACGTACGGACGAGTGCATTTTTCAAGCCCTAGTTATGTGACTTATACAATCCTGATTCAGCCTATATTTCTTTCATATTGCTAAATGCCATGGCTAAAACAAAAGTAGGGAATGGCTACTCCAGAGGATCCAAAATGCAGCAGCCAGACTGTTGATGACAGGAGCCTGTTCTAGTGAGAATATAAACACTCTAATACAACCGTTTCACTGGCTACCAGTTCTTTTTTCGGTACAAGTGAAAGTACTGGTCAAGGCCTCTAAAACCTTGTGCCACGTGGGTCCAGGCTACCTGAATGAACATATCTCTCTTTTATCAACCTGCCATGGGTCTTGAGGTCCTCAGAAGTGACCTTTGACTCTCATAGGCATACTTGGTAAGACAAAATAGAAGCCCTTCTCACAATGGCTGCCTTCATGTTTTGGAACTCCCTGATTGCGTCCTTGAAGTCCTTGAGTTGGCAGGTCAAAATATTTAGATTTAAGCAGGCTTGTGGAAGCTGATTAAGACCTGTTTCTGGCAGGTATGTTTTGAACTGCCCTGAGTTCTAATTGTGGTAGAAAAGTAAGATATAAAATGAATGAATGAATTACTCTGTAGCTTGTGATAAAACTTCTGCTTTGCATACAGAAACTTATAGGTTTAAGCCTGACATTAATAACTAGCATGTAGTGGAATATAATAATGAAATACTGTATAACATTAATTTTCAGTAGAAAGTTGCTTATATGTGGACAATTTGGATCTTTTCAATAGTAAGTCTGGAAAATAATTAAACTATAATAATATCTCATGGAATTTCAAAAGGTGAGCACGAATATGTAATATGATTTATAGTATTTTTGCACAGTAGTTGTACAAACTATGCTTCATCAAGTCATGGTAGCTGATCAGAGGAACAGCCACAGTCTGTATGGATCCTAGAAACCAGGTGCAATCCCTGCTTGCAAGTAACACGCCATCCACATATACTGTGCCTTTAGAGTGATATTTGAAATTTTGCTCCGTCTGTTGGACAATAGAAGTAAATGAAAATAATGTTATGTTTTACTACTGTGATTTAATTTCAGATCCATTTTCTGAAATTTTCCTGAACAAAAGATTAACATGATCAGATTGACTACCAGTTTTATCTCGTTCAGCCATATGATCTGTAGAGATAATCTCTTCTTCAAAGCCAATAAAGAAAAATTGTCTCACACAAATTCTACGTAATTATTTAGCCAAATGGGGAAAACTCAGGCAATCACGCTAAAATCATGGATGTGAACAGTGTTCCTGATGTATATCTCCTTCTAGTCTCATCTAAAAATCCCCAACAGCTTTATTATTAACACAATAGTTTTTGTAATGTGGGGGTGGCCATATTAAAATATGACAAGATAGTGAATATGATATCAATAAACACAGTTTCAGAGAAGCAAGGTACCTGAAAATAGTGGGTTATATCTGACAGGGATATTTTTTTAATTTTTTATTTAAAACATAAACATAAAATACACAAATCAAAATACAATATAACTGTGTTCCCCACCATAGACGGGACCTCTTGCTATAATCTTCTTCTTCCATTTATATTCTTCCTCTTCTTTTATTGTTCTCTTCTGCAGAACTGCATTGATTCTTGATTTGGAGCTTTCCCCTTTCCTCTTGTTAATACATATTCCAAGAATCTGCCCCATATTTCATAAAAACTTTTTCAACTCTCCTTTCTTAACCTTTAAATTACAAGTTGATTTATCATTTAGAGCTATATTCCATATTTCACTAGACTATTCATCCATTTGAAATTCATATTTTTATTTTCCATTGACAGGGATATTTTAAGGATTTAAAACTATATGATAAGATTGTACTAACAAACCTTATACCCACTCACTTTGAAACAAACTACTAAACTCAGTAGGGTTTGCTTCTATATACGTGTCATGAGTTCAGCCGAAGATCCAGAACCTGAGGGGTTACCTGTAGCTGAGGAGAATGCTGAGCGATTAGAAGCACAGACAGCTGAATCACCACCAGATTCTCCTCCCCCAGAAGCCAGGGTGAGGGCTAAACTTCAGCAAAGACTCATGATACGAAGGTCAGAGGATCGCATGAAGACTTCCTGTAGGAAAATCAGGTTGACCAGCCCTGAGTTTTAGCAGGATAAGTTGTTTAGATGACTGCTGCTGCTGCTGCTGCTATAAAATCTGCACCCAGAGGCTTGGAAATTTGTGGAGGCAATAAGTCAACACTCTGGCTCGCAATTATGTGCCTGCTTATCCTGGACCTTGTTCTCTGGACCCTTGGCTTTGGACTCTGACCCTGGACTATGTTGTGTGATTTGGCTTTGGACCCTGACCTCGGATTGCAGTTTCTGATTTGGCTTCGGCATTTTGATATCGGCTCTGCATTCTCTGAACTTCTAATATTGGACTGGCTTATCTGACTCTACTCCGGTAATATGACAATACACATATATTCTCTCTCTCTCTCTCTCTCTCTCTCTCTCTCTCTCTCTGTGTGTGTGTGTGTGTGTGTGTGTGTAAAAGAAACCAACATCCTGAGCAGTTATAATGATGAGAAAAATTCCATGCAGTAATTCA